GAAAGAGGAAGAAAATCAGAGGTTTGACGTACGATCATAACATGAACCCTTTTGTTGATGCAACAGAGACGCGCTCTCCTGTACCTCCCGATTCCATTTTTCGGCGTCTTTTTTTTCCCAACCAAACAGTCAATGGTTGGGACTCTGGCAAAGGCAAACGTACACAAACCGACTACACCTCAGTGTTAGGGGAACGTTACTTTCCAATTGTTCGCACAGGACTTACTCTCAAAATTGTGTTAAACAAGATTGACAGGGGTTCTACTGTTCGATGTTCATAATGATTTCATCAACATTTAGTTAAGCTAGACGTTCAGCATTATTAGCATAAACAGCATAAACTTAGGGTCGCTCCATTATATTCGCCAGCTTATAATCTTCTAAGATTAGATGCTATATATTTTCCCTATGTCTTCTCTTTTCATAACTTCCATAAGCGCAGCTCAACTTATCAGTGCCACACAATTTCTTATTTCATACGCGCTGCAAAAAAAAACATGATCTCTCATGAACGTCCGTCGCTTGGTTTTCCAACCTAGATAAGTTTGAATGATATAATTATCAGCTGAAGAGCGTAAAATTGTTTTGAACCTAGCGTTTAAAATTTTTGCGCAACTCATTCAACATTCTTTTCCAATCTCCAGCTGTAGAGGCACTCACAAGTTCAGCTTACTCCCGCATAGTCGCGATCTGAGTGGTCCTCAATCAACTAATCTTCCTCTTCCAACATACGAGAATTAGTAAACTACAACAATCTTCAAGGAATGTCGAAAGGATTATGGATCGATATCAAGAATCAAACAATTTCGACTGCACAGTTTGAGAGGTGACTAACTATGCGACCATTCACAAAAAAAATTAAGATGGAAGGTCGTAGGCATGTTGCATACGTCCATAAGGCGGAATTCATTTCATTGTTTTTCTAATCCCGTTTATCCAATTGAACCTAAGAAGTCTTTCCAATTGCTTATAAATGCACATTTAGATGGGATTAATAAAAACCGTTTATTATGGGCACGTACATATAACGAAGAAATCAACTAAAAATTTGTTTGAGGTCGAGTTTCGATCCATTTCTTGAGAGCGGGATTTGAGTAAACTTTTTCGTAATGAGCCTTGATCTAGAAATGAGTGAGTCAGGGGGAAACTTATTTGCAACTGGTTAATACTGCACGGGGTAACGACAAATAAGTTAAATTGTTACCTCCGGAAACCCATCGCATAGATTGGGGATCTTTTTGGAGAACTCAGCGGAAAAGTCGGCGAGAAGAAGATCGGCAACGGTTATGGAGCTGCCAACGAGGTAACCTTAGAAAAAAGGTGAAATCAAAGTGGTTAAAACTTCCTGGTCAAAAATTCCATACCTGTATTATTCTTTTTGAGGAAATTTGTCATATACCCAAAGAATTTGTCACGTGCCGGGAAGAGCACATCCTTTGTGAGTTGGTCCTGCAATTGAAGTAGCAGTGCTTAATGGATGAATTTATGGAGATTATAATGCCTCTTTTCCCTTATGGGCTGGTCGAAAACTTTCTGAAAAAGCATAACACATTATCTTTGTTCACTGTTAATGATAAAATACTTCTTAGCGTCCAAACTATGATAGCAATATTATCCCAAGGCAGTGAATAGGTTCCTACAAGGCTCTTAACTTGATCTCGTATTAGAGACAACCATGCCAAAATATTAAATCACACTTAAGCAGGCTAGTAGAAATTTGCTTTGTTTTAGTCAAGCAGAAAAAAAACATCCAGTCTAATTTTTCTAATGCTCGCACTCACAAGATCTCCTTCTGCAAATCCCGCAATGACTCTATACACTGGGCGAATTTCATCTCGAAAATCCTTGTACTGATCCATGATGGAATCGACGAGCGCCTCCTCGAAGGGGCACTTTGGCGCGAGGCCTAAAAGATTAAACGCATTATTACATAAGAACAAGTAATTGCTACCAACCAAACTTTTTTGCAAGAAATCGAGCAATAGCGAAAGATTGCGCAAGCTTTTGACCGTCGATCTCAAGCACCGGCATTTGGCCAAACGGCATCTCTAAAGACTAACAATAGATAACTCCTTTTAGGTAACTTTGATTATGGACCTTGCTTGTGTTGCGGCCATTCATCAAAGGTGTAGCGAATGTCCTCAAATTTCTCGTTGGCAAGAACAAATATCTAGAAAAGCAAAGCTTTGTTGAATAAGGAATCATTCCAAAAAACTGAGTAAGCATTCGCACCTGACGAATAACCTCCGCCCTTGCACGGGCGTCGAAGTAGATGAGTTTGTACATTCTAGATCTAGAAATCTTTAAGAAACTTCGAGATATACG